TAGCGTCATGACAGTAAACCAACAACAGCGAGTTCAACCTCAAGTGGCTATAAATCCCGATCTGCTGCTCCTCCACAAACAGGTGTATTTCTTTGCGATCGTGGTGTTGTTGTTCCAACCCCTGCAAATTGCCGAGACTACCGGACGAAGCCTTGACGTTCTCGTAACAGTCTGTTTGAGCCTCCTTGTCGATCAGGTGGGAGTTGATTGATGCCCAGCGTCCTCTCGCTAGAAAGCTGTGCTTCTCAGGCGAAGAACCTTATTCTGCAGCCGATCATATGGTGGGTGTTAATAAGGAGGTGAAATCTGATCAGCGTGTTGACGAGTGATTTTCCGACGCGGCCTCATGAGCTCTCTGCTGGAATTCTACGGCCCAATCTATATTGATACTAGCCAAGATTAGCGCGATAGTTGTCAGATGCGGCACCATTTTCCCCGGTATACAAGAGTACAACGATGAGTATCTACTGCAGTGGGATCTGCAAGACTCGCTGGTGACCAATCCCACTACCTCTCCGCATTGACTCATGATCCAGGTCATGAGCATCCGCATGAGAATGCAACTCTTCTTCGAGACAGAAAGTGTCACGCTTGCTACCAATTACTTGGTTGGGGGCTATGCCGTGCTCATATTGAGTCAGCTGGCAACGCAGGACTATTGGGATGGCGTTACAGTCATCGAGAATATCTATAAGTGGGCACGAAATGCATCACCCTCAACATCCCTTCCTCAGATGGACAGACTTCGCGACTGTTTGTATATTCATGCTAGAGATAACGTGCAAAACGTTCGCCTACTGGCTGGAATTTTGGTTAGATCCCTGGAATTTGGTTGACAACGTCGTTGTCATAGCGAGTTTCGTCGTCGGCGGTGAGTCGGTGTTGAAGGTCTCAGCTGCGCACCGGTTCTGCTGCAGTGATGGCAGCTGAGATGAAAGGCCTGGCGCTCCTTCGACTCCTCAAGTTACTCAGAATCATGGTCGTCATCCGCAAGGTGACGAGAAGCCCTTTCGCATACGGATTATATCACACTATCAGGTGTCAGAGGGTCGGAAAAAACTAGAAGTTTTGAAAACCAAGTCTGCTGTTACTGTGGGTTCCTATGTGGACAAGGTACGCACAGCACTTGGAGGGAACGTCACGAGGAGTTGCTTGTTAGGTATTGGAGCTCATCGAAGAGCTTCAAAATGCGAGGTATTTGCCGCCATATCTCAAGGATGATCTAGACTGGGTTAAAGTTAACCAGCTCATCGCATGAGCAATTTCATAGGCGTTCTTCTCAGGACGTGATCGTGAGTAACAAGCTGTACGAAGTCAGTTTTGACACGGATGCGATAGATGCCAATAGTGTAAGCCGACAATTTCAGCGTTTAGATCCGACAGGTTGTGTTTTAGGATGGTGCCGACAACAGCGACGAGATGGCAGCGTGGATTACAGCGGCAAATGGGGCTCCTGTTAAAGCGGATGACGACATGAAGGTGAGCTTCGTGCATCTGTTAACCTATAAAGGAGTCCAAGCCAATGGGTGATGGAATGCAGAGATTCTATCTATAATCATACTCATGAACTAGCTTCGAGCTAAAGCTGAGATTCCATAGTTGTGCACAACTAGAACGTCCGAGGTCTGCCGGAATGCATGTAATCATAATACTACTCTCTATCCAATCGCTACTACATGATGCACGCGGCCCGACTACCTGGCGAGCCTCGAATAACTTGACTAAAGCATGTGGCTTTACATCCGGTCGTTCAACTGGTGATTCTGTTCAAGAGTGCAAAGTTTGTGGTGGCTCGCGAGCGATGAGTTCTCAGGACCATTCCTCGTTATATGGAGGCCGGAGTACAGTGGGGAAATATCGCGAGTCCAAAGCTCGTAGGTCCTTGTTGCTCTCCTGGTGAAGAGAATAGCCGTGGTTGTGTCTCCGTAGAAAGCGCGAACAAAGCCCGACGCGAGAGTCGCTTGAAGGTGAGCGTTGCGCCAATCTGTTTGGCAACTTCTTACTAATTGATGTGTACCGACCGAGACGTTGTAGTCTCGTGGGCGCAGTGCGAAAGAGTCGAGCCAGAATCGGGAAGCTCGGGAGACTGCTAGACGTCTAAATGAAGATATGTTCAAGACTAGTAACATGACGTCTGGTGAGGTAAGCGCTGTGTACGCTACCTGTGAGGAGGAAGACTTGAGCTCAGCAACAGCAAATAGAGTCCATGTTGAGTACAATCGAAAATTGGAGTTTCGATATCTTCCAGTTCGGCGAGGTGAGACATTACCTGAGTTTTCGATGGAGACCGTCCCACAATGGTGTTAGCTTCTGGGCGATAATTTTCTACCGATTCTGTTCGGCAAGATCTTGATTTACCACGCTTTGGTCAAAGTACATGCGTTCGACTTGGAAATCCTCTTCAACTATACAAGAAAGGTAAGGCGTTCTCTGGAGGTACAGCCATCTCGATCATGAGCAGATTCAAGAGTCTTTCCATCCCCAAGTACAGTTCCACAACATGTATCATACTGCTGACATGATACAGGCGATACATGTGATGTATCGCATGGGTAAAGTTGACAAAAATCTGAGCCACCCTGCGAGGTCTGTAAAACCGCATGACGATATTTCGTACACCGAAGCCCCTAGGTTCGCTCTCTTGTTCGCCGCTCTTATCTGTCACATGCGACACCCGGGCCTGACAAACGACTTTATGGTTAAAGCTCGCACGCCTGAGGTCGCCGTGAGTGATGCATAGTCCTCCTGAAGGTGTTGGCTTACAGGCTATACGATACAATGACAAGGCTGTGCTACAACACTGCCATCTAGCTCACGCGTTCAGTCTCCTCGAGAGTCAAGAGTTCAATTTCATGCTGAAATCAGAGCCGGGAATAGTGGTGAGCTACACGACGATGGTCGTAGCCTAGTGCAGCTCCCTAAAACAGACTGAGCTGCGGAAATTCGTCATTCATATGATCCTCCGATTGGACATCAGCCGACACATGACCGAGATAACTAATCTAACCAGCGCAATGGCTGCTGAGTTTTTTCCTTGCAGAGTGCGTATCAGCCTCGTCGAGCGACGTTACGTGCGTCTGTCAGGAAGACGACACTCTGTTGTTACTCTCGGTATCGCTAAGAGTCGCAGACATATCATGGGCGTGCAGGCCACCGGAGATTTATTCTCAATGGGCGGAGAAATTTTTCGAGGAGCTCTACCTCCAGGGCGACTTGGAGAAAGTCTGAGAAGCTGCTTTATTGACGCTCATAGTCGCCCCCTAGCAGGTCATGAGATACCCTGTATCCCCCTTCTGTGATAGAGATACTGTACAGTCTACTCGGGCGGAGCTTGCCTATGCCTACGTCATGGTTACACCTCTTATCAATGCCTATACTGTGCTCTATGATGGTATAAAAGTCTCTACATGATGTGTACTAGGTCTTTCTCAGGTCTCGTCAAGGCTTGGGTGGTTGAAGGATTAGAGCCGAATAAGAAAGGGCTGCGCGACAAGATCGGTATGACTGCATGAGCTGCCACGATTGATGCGAGCTTCACGTTTCGCTTGTTTCTGAACTTTTGCGTTGGTAATCATGACTCAAGTCGACGCGTCACCCAACAGGCGAGCTGAAAACCCTTGTCACCACTTCCACCGATGTAGTCAAATATTGCTGTGTCAGTGAATTAGAATGCAATCTTTCTGGCATTTCTTTCGACGGTTAAGATTATTCCGTGTTCATCACACCTTGTGTTTCACAAGTGCCAGCGATCCGCGCGCATTATCTCTCTGGGACACGCGATCACCGAACTACACACAGTCGCTGTTGGAAAACGCAGTTTATCTCGAGAACGAGTACACGAAAGCGTCACAATTCGAGGTTCGAAGTAAATGTGGAAGGTATCGCCATCGCAGCACAGCGTCATATCACAGGCAACGGGAACGGTTCTTGTACCTGAAGTTGACCGAACTCATGAATGCTAATACATAGGTGACCTTCGAGACACAACAGATATCTATCGAGGCATTCGGAGGGACAAACCTAGCCCAAAAGCAGCTAAGTGACTGCGAGCTTAGGAGGTTGAACGTGCAAGTACGAAGCGGCGGACTAGTGCGGCAGTTACGCAACATCACAAGAGTGAACACAACAATCAACGGGCCCGCATCGATACCGCCGTTTGGCTCAACACTTGACACTGCTATTCGCCTGATCCATCTGACCGACGTACAGCTCTTGGTAGCCTGATGAGCGGACAGCGGCGGGTCAAAAGGCGTCCATGGGTGAGTTATACGAGTTAACATTTCGAAGACAACGAAAGCGGTGGCCCACCGTGGGTTCATCCCACTCGCGATACGTACTCTCCAACATCGTCATTGTTTTTCTCTGGAGAAAGTTCACGGGGCCGCGAGGGTGGTGTATCCGGGAGAAAACCGAAGTGTCCATACTTAGCGATGTTCTGTTGCCTCGAAATCTGCAAACGGTTCCCAATTCGAAATATATCAACAGTAAAAAAGCACTACTGCTTCTATCGAGCTAAATCCAGGCTGTACGAATGAACAGAGCTCTTGTAAGCCATCGGATTAAGAGAAGAATAGTTTACTAGATTATAACGAGAGATATTTCGATTTCACCTCAATGACAGAGACGACAGATGGTGGCTCAGGCTGGAGGGGCAGAGTGGGAAGATGAGTCACACAGTCTTCGACAGGCGGTTGTATATCCTGAATAGAAATGATAACAGATCAGTGTCGGTTAGGAACTTGCCACCTTTTTCGTCCCCAAGTTTTCCGTCTTAGACTTCACTGGTGACAATCTGATAGTCGGCAGGCTCTTCAGAAGATTCTCGGCACCGATTGGCAGAGCAAATGGTATGTGCGATCGATCTATTCTCACTCGTTGGAGGTCAACGCCAAATTCCTGAAGTTACGTATGTAGGTATCGACCCAGCCTTGTGGATCGATCACATTCCGATCGTCATGCAAACCCCGCTTCGACGCTTCCTTCCGGAGAGCTTCTAGGGCTCTCATGTCGATGCCCTGCACCCAGTCGGCGGCTATTCTTATGAGATTAATCTTGAGCTCTGATGAAAAGACTCGCACCTTGACGACGCTTGAAATGATTAGCCTCGACCCCGTTCTCTCGCATTTTACGTTCTAACACCACGAGCACCTAAGGTTGAGCCGAACGCCACTCCTCATAATAGAGATTTTCACCTCGTCGACTAGGGCGTCAACTTTCTGTTCATACCACTCGATTCGGGCGGCTAACGACTGGATGTAAATTGGTATCCGATTCACGTCACGTGTCTTTGGATCACCTATGATGTAGCCTTGGTATAACGAGGCGATCACACAAGCACACTTCGGAGTCTGGCGCAGCCTTGGAGGAACTCATCGCGATTGACTTCGCCATCTCCATCGGCATCAAGACATTCGAAGACTTGAGCCATGTCCTTCACTGGCATACGGATCTCCGACAAGAGTGCGAGGATTTTCGGATTGCGCGAGGCTTCCTGGAATATACAACGTGGTCGTTATGCATTGTTATCAACAAGCAGCGACTCAATGTACTAATACAACGATAAGTTCTGGTGTGAGGCGAACAGGACGTCTTCAGTTCGCAGCCAAGAGCAAACCTCAAGCTCATCTCTGTCTAGTTTTCCATTCTCATCCACGTCTATTTCCTCGAAGATTCTCCGCAGTTTTAACATAACTTTAGCCTGTGCTCGAGACCTCTGTATTTCCAATTGTGTATCATTTGCCTGGGAAAGAGAATTGCCTGACTCTTTCGGCGTCAGCGAGGGATACTTTAGCGGCTTCGATAGCATTGTTGATGATGGAAGCGAGCATAACGTTGAGGATAGCATACGCCGTTATGAAAAGGTAGGGGAGGAAAAATAGCCACATGATGGGGTAGATTCGGCACACTGGCCGAGCTACACTTATCATCCAGTTGTCTTGCGTTGTAACTTGGAACAACGTTAGCAAGCCAGCCCAGGGGGTTCCGAAGTATTCGTATGGGTCGAAGAACTCATAAGGTCCGGCGATCTGACGGGTTGTGAAAGCCCAGGCAGTAGACTTGCCGAGGACCAATCGCAAGAGGATCGCACAGACCCAGGTAAGCGAGAATAGTAGCAGTGTCACCCAAGCGAGGGTCTTTAACATAGCTATGATCCCTGTTAAGACTAGCCATAGTTCTCGGAAGAATCTCAGTAAACGGACAAGTCTGATGAGGCGAATCATCCGTACCAAGCGGAGACTTAGAAGGGACTTCAGGGCCGAGCCAGAGACGATAAAAGTCTCGACTATCGTTTTGAATACGAGTATGCAGTCGAAAATGTTGAATGCATCGTTGAAGAAATCAGCACGATTGTAGTAGATTCTGATGATGAGCTCGACAATGTATACCAGAACGAAGAAGACATTCAAGGTCTCGAAGATCGGATGGTCCGGATCTGTCGCGTCGGTCTGTATCCCTGAAGTAGATGCTGTGGGAGCCCGTCGAGGGTATTCTTACCAATCTCGATAGCGTTGAGGAGTATGATGATTCCCATCATTGTGTTGAACCATACGCGATCACAAACAGGCACCTTGCTGCTTTCAGAGCCGAGATCTGGATCATTCTAGGCCTCGTGATAGAGCTGACATGCCACACCTTTTCTCTGTGCTCCCAATAAGAGCTTTCTTGGAGGTTCTAGTCGCCCTGCCGACTGGCTTAGCTGGAGGGTGAACTAAGAGAATTAATCACCACAGTAGTGGCGTATTTTCATACGGTATTCTGTTTACTCGACAGATGCGGGTCGTGGCCAATAAGGACCGCTCGTTGTGCCATTTAAGAGAGTCGGAAGAAGCTCATCTGCGTGCTAAAGGCTGTTACCCTCCGCTGTAAGGGAAGTCTCTGTAGCAATTCGGAATATCGAGGCATTGATGAACTTTCGACCTCGCTTAATCGTTTTTCCCAACAGCGAAGGATATGTTATTTTCAACAGGAGCTCGGTTTAAGGTCCTATGCATTGGGTCATCATCGCTGCTCATCATGATAGGGCAAAGTTCTGTATTCATTGAAACGACTCGCTGGACGGCGCACTAGTTTGACTTGGTGAATTAGCAGGGTCATATTCCCAATTGTTTCTGTACGGTTATTTTATCGGCGCTATCTCAGTATATTGTCGAGAACATATGTACATATACGTACCATATCAGATTTTCGCGAAGAAAAATATCTCAACTCCCATTGAAATCCAGTTGGCAAGGATTCGGCAGCCTCCGAATTAGCGAAACCAGTTGCAGCCTGTCTGACAGGCTGTCAACATCTGACGAAAGCCGCGCGCGCCCTAAAATTCTGAATCCGCACGCAGGAGATTTATAGCTGTTCCTTGCATTATAGGTGACGTCAAGGGCGTTGACTATGTACCATGTATTACTCGTTATAGAGGAAAGAGTCTATCGACGTCAAGGGCATATATGTTCCTTGGCAAGGGATTCGAAGTCAGTGTTCATTGTGTAGTTACATATGAATGATTAGATAGGTTGTAAAGGCTTCCAGTTGAGTACTGACAATCGCCTCGTTACAGTTCGCTTTCGTTCAATGTCGGACACTACTGACACTGACGTGAAAGAAGTCCCTCATCCGAGCGTTGATAACGACGAGAAACGAGTTCCTCACGGGAAGAGTACTTTCCATGTGTTCCGAGAGAACAGCCATTTGATACTTAAACTTGGCTCTGGCTTCTTTGCTGACGCGTACGACTTATTTGTCATTGACATCGTTTTGGCCATATTGCAAGAGCTTCAGAACGAGGATCCAGAGGGCATCGGCCTCACACAAGAGACGAAGGGTCTCATCGCTGCCGCTACATCGGCTGGTGCTGTACTTGGCATGATCTTTTTCGGTGTACTCGGCGACTATGCTGGTCGACGTGTGTCTATCATTTGCACAGGATCTCTCGTTGTTCTCGGTTCGATCGCCTCCGCATGTGTGCAGCGCTCAGAAGTGTTTTCCCTGGCCTATCAACTTTGTATTTGTCGTCTCGTTCTGGGCTTTGGTATAGGTGGGGAATACCCTCTATCAGCAGCTATGGCTTCAGAAAGGGCCTCCAGTGAAGTTCGTGGTCGAGTGGTTGCTGGTGTTTTCTCTATGCAAGGTCTTGGCATGATCGCTGCCTCTATCTTACCGCTCATTTTCCTCTATGCTGGAGCATCGTTACCTTTAACGTGGCGCTTTCTACTAGGCATAGCCGTTCTGCCCAGCGCTGTAGCGCTCTACTTTAGATTTGGCCTGAAGGAATCTTCGGCTTTTCATCAATCCCGGCAACGAGCCCCTGCGAACTTCGGCTCTCGAATCAAATCGGTGGCAACTACTATTTTCGCTGTATCCGTACCGTTACTCGGTACCTCTTTATCGTGGCTATTTATGGATATTACTTTTTACGGGACGGGCGAGTTCAAGCACGCCGTTGCTGACTCACTTTTCCCGAGTGCAAATGTACATAGTAAAGTAATCGATGCGTCCATATTTGCTATGATCATATCGTTTATCGCCTTACCTGGATACATATGTGCCTGTCTATTCATAGATAGATTGGGTCGGTGGACTCTTCAAGTTCTGGGTTTCTGTATGATGGCAGTCTTTTATTTGGTCATGGCCATCTGTATACAGTTTAATGCCAATGCATATCTCAACTTGGTGGTTTTTGGTGTTACTTTCTTTTGGACCAACTTCGGCCCAAATACGACAACATTCATCATTCCCTCGGAGATTTTCCCTACACAAGTAAAGACGACATGCCATGGTTTCTCCGCGGCTATGGGTAAAGTTGGTGCTATCATTGGCGCTTATTCGTTCCCGACTCTACAAGCAAAAGTCGGCCTCTTTGGTGTGATGTATGTCTGCGCTGTTATTGCAGCTGTGGGTCTGGTGTCGACTCTCGTATTCCTGAAGAAAAGTGTGGTGAAAAATGGCGTCAAGCTCTAGTTCATAAAGTCGTGTTATAATGTTTACTGCATCCTGGTGCAGTACTGAAATGAACCATTTTACGTATATGAACAGTCAACCCGTGATGAGGATTGAAAGCTCTTCACCGCAATGCTATACCCGCCATAGATCTGTAAGAGTAGGCTCTCCCATATCTACTCGATTGATCTACACATTCCTCAGAAGTCCAAGCTTGGGTGCATCTTTTTCCAAGGCAGTTGGGTCATTCTCACTGTCTATACGTTTCGAGTCATGAACTGATCATGATCTCTCCTTCTTACCCGGTTGAACAGATTTAAGGAAGAAAAAGTTGTTTTTACGAACTCCTGGTGTCCAGCACGTCTGAACCAGGATATTGCTGTGTTTTCGTTTGTAGAGAACCAGTAATAGTTCTGTGAACACTACAGCTAGTCGGATTCTACTTAATTACTGTCTTGCGTTTACTATAAGCACGAACGGAATTATACCGGGATCTTGCGCTAGTGTGTATTCCGCTAGTAGCTGTCCACATTCGTCGTCTGTCTCCTTGTGTGGTATGGCTAAACATTTGGAGTTAGCTCCGGAATATCAAACGGTAGGGAATGTGATTCGATGTTGCATAACCCATATTGATTGATGTGTTGTAAAAAGTGTGGTATTATCTTATCTCTATCCTGGGCAAATGTCGGGTGTGAACGTTAGTTGGTTCATTTGTTTCGTCCTTCTCTTTCTTCATGTCGTCCTCGTCGTCGCCGACTCCTAAGGCCACTGTCGAAGTCAAGTCTCCCAGCACTTGGTCGGTATTCAAGGATAACTTTCCCCTTATAGTGAAGCTTGGTTCTGGTTTCTTCGCTGATGCATATGATATGTTCGTAATCGATATTGTATTGTCCATATTGGGTGAGCTTCAAGATATTGATGCTGATGGCATTGGCTTGGACGAGAGCACGAAGGGTCTCATTGCTTCAGCTACTTCTATTGGTGCTGTCGTTGGTATGATATTCTTCGGTATCATTGGTGACGAAGTTGGTCGCCGTTTGGCAATCCTCTGCACTGGGTCTCTTGTTGTCATCGGATCCATAGCCTCAGCATGTTGTCAAAGATCAGAAGCTTTCCCTTTGGCGTATCAGCTTTTCCTATGCCGTTTGGTCCTTGGCTTTGGCATTGGTGGTGAGTACCCGTTGTCGGCGGCAATGGCATCTGAGCGCTCCTCAGCGGCGGTTCGTGGTCGAGTAACTGCAGGAATCTTCTCCATGCAAGGTCTTGGTGCTGTTGTTGCTGCGGTGTTGCCACTGATACTCCTTGCATGTGGTGCTTCGCTTCAAGTGACTTGGAGAGTCCTCCTAGTCGTCGCTGTCATTCCTAGTGCGTTCGCTCTGTATTTGAGGTTCTCGTTGAAGGAATCAGACAGTTTCAAGAATGCTAAGAGTAAACGACACGGCAACAGCGTTGATCGCGCTACTAAGTTCCTTAAGACGATCTGGACACTCATATTGCCACTCCTCGGTACTTCCTTGTCCTGGTTGTTCATGGACATAACGTTTTACGGTACTGGTGAGTTCAAGCATGTAGTGGCCAATGAGCTGTTCCCTGGTGGCGAAGGTGTGAAGAAAGTGATGAACGATTCATGGTTCGCCTTTGTGGTTTCTCTTGTGGGTCTTCCCGGGTATATCTGTGCCTGCATTTTCATTGACAAGCTCGGAAGGTGGAGGCTGCAGGTCCTCGGTTTTGTGATGATGATATTGTTCTATTTGATAATGGGTGTATGCTCACAGTTCAGCACCAACGCGTACTTGAATCTGGTTATATTCTCCATTACCTTTTTCTGGACCAATTTCGGTCCAAACACTACCACCTTCATCATTCCATCGGAGATCTTCCCTATTGATGTCAAGAGTACTTGCCACGGTTTCTCTGCGTCTATGGGCAAAGTTGGTGCTATCATTGGTGCATACTGCTTCCCAACGTTGCAGGCGTCATTGGGTCTAGGAGGTGTTATGTACGTATGTGCTGGTGTGGCTGCTTTGGGTTTGGCCTCGACCTTGATATTCCTCAAGAGGAAGCTACTTGATGATGCATCTGATGCTTCTGTTGATGGTTATTCAACTGATAATTCTGTTGTCGAGCTCAAGGTCTCCGCTGCCTAAGGTGTAGAGGAGGAAGTGTTCAGAGTGGGCGAAACTGTGAAGAGTTGTTGTGAATACGTTCAACAACAATAAGGCTACTGTTATTTCCCCTAAAGAGGAGCTCTTAAATGTTATTCGGTGCTGAGCCAATGAGTTCTTAGGCAATATTCAGCATTCTCGGTTATATATTAGAGATATGTGTAAATACGTTATTATTGCCGATGCGGTCTGCATAGAGAGTGTGAGATTCCCCTTCTAAATTTTGCACGTACACTTGTCGCTGATGGCAATTGTGTAGTGTACGCGCCCACTCGTGTTAGACACTTTAAAACCTGCGTATCAGGTTTGATGCTCTGTTGTTCCTGAACTAGAAGGTTGCACTTGCAATTTTTCGCCGGTTTGTAAGAGTGTTGTAGTAGGGGTGTCGCTCTCAACAGACGTGTTATTGACAGTTTCCTTAGTGGTTTAGCGGTGACCTGCACGTCAGGACCGTTAGCCTTAAGGCATTCTGTTGTTTCTACTATAAGTACCAAGAAGTTGTTAGGGTGTAGTCTCGTACTTATCACCCGTGGTTGTTTCTCCTGTGTCGATTTCAATGAGATTGTGTTGTGTTTATTAGTGTGTTGACTTGAAGCACTCTCTGGTTACAGTTGGAGTCTCAGAATAGTGGATCTTGTGATCTTCGCTAATTGTAAGGAGTATAGTGAGCTGTTCTTGAGGATGTGTCTGGATTTTCTGTTCACGATGATACAAGTCGGCATAGTGAGCTTACTCAGGTTTGACAATCTTCTACAGTGCAGAATCTGGACTTGACCCATTAGTTTGGTGGCAAGCACTTGACAACAATATTGTTTTTCTGGGGGTGTAATTGTTAGATGTGGTAAACTAACCCGTCCGTGCTATGTGATGATCATATTTCTGTGACTATAGTGGGATGGGGTTGGCCTTACTATGCCTGTCTCATCGCGTGGAAGCGTTCAACCAACAGACAGTACATTTTCGGTGTGTCATTCACGCGCGCGTCGTCTGTGTTTGCGTGCTGTTACTAGGGTGTGATCGGATCAGTCTAAGTCTTATGCGAGTAATGGAATCGGATAAGCTTGAGGAGCTTCGCTCAGGAGATGATCATGGGGGCGCGGTTCTCGACTAACGCTGCCGCGCTCGAATTCGCGTTCGAGTTGCTCATATGTGAATTCGAATGCTAAAGATTCTTGATATCTTCCCGTAAATGCCCTCGAGTTCAAGATCGACAGCTTCTTCAACGGGAACGTTCGAAGTCTTCAAAGAGAATGGTCCATTGTTGTTCAAACTCGGCATTGGCTTCTTCGCTGATGCATACGATTTGTTCGTTATTGACTTGGTGTTAGCTATGTTGAGTGAACTCAACCGTGACGATCCTGAGGGTATCGGTCTTAACGTAGACACCAAAGGGGCCATCGCAGCAGCTACGTCAGTGGGCGCAGTGGTCGGTATGATTCTGTTTGGCATCATTGGTGACCGAGTTGGTCGGCGTGTGTCTATTCTGGTTACTGGTACAGTAGTCGCTGTCGGGTCAATTGCCTGTGCTTGTGCACAGAGGTCGGCCAGTTTCCCTCTCGCGCTTCAACTCTGCATATTCCGGTTTATTCTTGGTGTCGGCATTGGTGGTGAATATCCTCTTTCTGCGGCTATGGCATCTGAAAGGTCCTCGACTGCTATAAGAGGACGAGTAACTGCTGGGATATTCTCCATGCAGGGGTTGGGGTTAGTCGTAGCGTCTATTGTCCCGCTCGTTTTAGTAGTTGCCAGAGTACCCCTTGAAGTGGCTTGGAGAGTATCATTGGCCTTTGCGGTGTTACCTATTCCTATGGCTTTGTATATGAGGTTTAAGATGTCCGAGTCTGCAGCTTTCGAAAACTCAAAACGAGCACATAGTGGAGCGGCGAATTGTGACCGACTGAAGAGTATTCTAGCGATTTTGTCGAGCTTCTTGATACCACTATTGGGTACGGCTCTGTCGTGGCTTTTCATGGATATAACTTTCTATGGTACTGGAGAGTTCAAGCACGCCGTAGCGTCTGATATCTTCCCATCTGGTGAAGGTACACAGAAGATCATTGATGCATCCATATTTGCTATGATCATATCGTTTATCGCCTTACCTGGATACATATGTGCCTGTCTATTCATAGATAGATTGGGTCGGTGGACTCTTCAAGTTCTGGGTTTCTGTATGATGGCAGTCTTTTATTTGGTCATGGCCATCTGTATACAGTTTAATGCCAATGCATATCTCAACTTGGTGGTTTTTGGTGTTACTTTCTTTTGGACCAACTTCGGCCCAAATACGACAACATTCATCATTCCCTCGGAGATTTTCCCTACACAAGTAAAGACGACATGCCATGGTTTCTCCGCGGCTATGGGTAAAGTTGGTGCTATCATTGGCGCTTATTCGTTCCCAGTGCTCCAGAGTCGGATTGGTTTGGATGGCGTGATGTACGTATGCACAGTAGTGGCATTGCTGGGCCTAGCCTCTACTCTGATTTTCCTTCGTCGTAGAGTCGTAGATGATGCCCCTGATGTCTCAAAGGAGCTCAGCATGGTGAATCACGAGATGAATGGTATGGCGTGAATACTACCACTATTTGGGACAGTAGATTCGTCAGAGTCGGCAGTCTTGCACATACAAGGCACGACATTCGCACGACGAAGTTGTTGCCTTGATGTTTACGTCTTGCAAGTTTGGGTCGCCATTTTCTTGTTTGTGTACTGCTTTGTATCTGGTCTCGCACGAGACAAGTGCTTATGGTGTTTTTTCGCAGCTTTTATTTCTTTCGTTTGATTCACTCGTTGAGGCAGACGATATATTATGTAATCGCCCCTCACTCTCGGGCTTATGTTTAGTGTTCATGTTGTGTTGTTACACTCGAAATGAAGAGTTCTATGATGTATGCCTCATGCAAGTCCTTGCGTGGCGACATAGACCCTGTTTCATAGGAGCAAATTGCCCCTTGAACTCAAGTAACGTCTTTAGTATACTGTAAAACTTGAGTATCAAGTAGCCCTAAGTAATCCCGGCACATTCTGGCACGCTATTTCACTACTTGAGCAAACACTTCAACGTGAAAGGTTTGCCGAAATACTGTATTCCTAAACTTTAGACGACTTGAACTCTTAAAAAAGAAATAAGATAAATAAATTAAGAAATAGTTCAAGGCACGCTCCACCGCATCGTATTAGTTTTTTGGGAGCGTTGGGTGAGACTGGGTGTTAGCCAACTAGGCAGCAGAGGGCGATGATACTACCGAACCTCATAACACGCCGTGCATTGCCTTAACACCACAGTCACATTGCCTAGCGCGCAGGCACATAGGCAATGTCCCCAAACAACTAGTAAAAACAATAAAAGAAAAAATTCCAGGGTGGAACCGGCTCGAGATGCTCCTGCACAGCCAGATTGCTGTCACTTGATCCTCGACCGGTTGCACCACCTTCTCGTTCGAGTCGATCACAATGGCGTGCGCCACGGACGCACGAGCGATACTTGTTACGCTTGCTTGAATTTGCCCCATGCAAGCCTGGACTTGCACTAAAACTATTCTTAAAGAGAAGTATGGCGCTGTTTAGGGTACTTCGGAATCCGAAGTTCGGATGCAGCCGCTATCGTAGCAGGTATAGCTGGGATGCTCTACACCCTTGAACCATCTGTGGAAACTAAGTCAACCCCTGCTTACATCAAAAGAATCATCATGGACACGCCCACCCAAGGTGTCAAGGACAGTAATGGGGAAAAGACTCTCTCATTCGGCCGCGACGGCTGTCAGTAAGATACTCGGAAGAAGGTATAATCTTTCACTCTGATGATGGAGACATTGATAACTTGTTCGGTGTACTCTCGTCTGTCTCGATGGTCTCTCCCTTGCTGGATGGATTATCAATTCATTCGATTCAATTATTGTACATGTGAAGGTCTGATGTCACATGCAATCGTAACGTTGTGGATTTGATTATGATAATCCTTTACGCTCAACTGTTGAGTTTGTTATTATAACCAGTGCAGTATTATTTCAATCGACAACATTGAAGATGTCAAACATACAAGATGTCCAAGCAATTAACGATGAAGCGTTCTTGTTGATCCTACAAGCCTCCTAGTTATTGACCATGTTATGCGCCACTCCACATTTTATACTAGCAACTAAACATCACGTAGTGTTCATAGCATAATCGACGAGAACGTCGCTGAGACCAGACGGTCGACGCAGCTGACGGACTGCGATGATATGATCAATAATGATAATTATATTTTGCATGTTCAACATCCACTAATCAGTAAACAGATGTTAAATGTCGCCCATAATATACGGCATTATATTTCCCATCCACAGATGAAAAGGAATACAAGGCAAAGTAGGCGCCATCGATCGTCTTCTCTTCGCTAACGGTAACCGGTCACCCGAGACGTACTCCCCTAGACGCAGCAGCCATTGATGTTGACCATTAGCCGCCACCGCGTCAGTAGCGCCAGTACACAGCCATGCATCATTCACACGTTTTTCTGATCGCAGCTCTCCACCAACCAGCAAAAGACGGTCAGAATGTAATGCCACACATCGAACGAGACATCTAGCTTGCCAACGTCTTGGTATGGTCTCGGGGAGCCCATCTTGGGAAACACCCAGTGGTGGGAGACCTGCTCAAAATACTCCAACGAAGTAATAACAGCACTTCTCACATCCACAGGACTCGCTGGTCGTAGTAGATGCCTTAGTCCATGAGAATCCTTCATCTCGACTAATCCAAACGTCGGAACTGCACTGATCGACATCATTACTCGGCTCACCGAGGCCTACACAGAGAACCCTTCGCGTCTATCTAACATCGATTCTTCTTACCACCTTGAGTGCTTGTTATTTCACCACCACATAAAACTAACATCCCGCTCGGATTGTGCTGAACGACAGCCATTCCTCCTCGGGGACCGAAGTCTCCGTCTAGCGTTATCTAAATACCATGAATTCACAGTACACTGAAGCCTGTCGGGCCTACCTCTTTCCACGACACTCCGCCGTCGTCTGACCTCCACACGTCAGAAAGGAACCCCGTCATAGTAGTGCCACCGACCATGATCATCGACTGGCCGCCTACCGTACCAGGCGTACTCTCAACAATACACATTGGGAAGGAACTCACCGTTGATGGTGGTGAATCCCATGGCCCATCGGGGTTCCCATGGGGCGCACGCAGACAGGTGTTGCCAACTTTCACCAGAGTCATCAGAGCACCAAACGTCATTGAGGTGGGTGTTGTTCATACCAAGCCCGCCACAAACAACAATCCTGAAACAATAAGAGCCTGTTTTCTATAAAACGTAGTAACTACTCACCTTCCACTGTGCAGAATAGCACACGCGAAATTACAGCGCGGTGGGAATGATCCGCTCGGATCGACAGGAATGGCTTCCGTCCACGTGCGACCTCCGTCGGTTGACCGCCAAACGTCGTTCTTGAAGTTGAAGTTGCGATCCCATCCACCTATAAGAGGCTTTACCCAACGACGCACAAAATGTTAACTCACCAAGAAGGACCAATGCCCTGTCGTCTCGGAGGGGGACCATGCAATGCCCCATCCTCGGAGACCATTCGGCAGATATTGTTCGACGTTTCCATGAACGACCGCTATCAACACTGCAATACCTGCAGACACTCTCCAGACAATACCGAGGGCTGCGAGAACCTACACATCGCTCATTGACCGAGACATACTGTCGAGACCACCGGCAAGATAAACGGTGTTTCCATCCCAGCATACAGTGAGGGCGTGTCCAGACCGACCATCGAAACCGCCAGGAGGTAAGCGTTGCCAGCCTGTTGCGAATGCCACAGCAGATGTGTAGTCCTGGAAAGAGCATTAGCAACCTCAAGATAGATACATTATACTCACCAAGAGAGATGACCCAACCGCGTTGAGGACGCGCTTACGACGACAGCATTGAGTGCTCCCACAAGGGTGACAACTTATAACTCGCTGGTGAAGCCACTTCTTCCTCTGCGGTGACATCCTCAGTGAATACCTGCCACCAAAGAGTCTTCATAACGACACTGGAAGGACGAGAGTACCGATGAGTGGGATGAGCAGCATAGGATAATCGTCGTTGAGGGGATGCTGTAGTAGAGAGCGGCAGCAGAGGCTCGGGAGATCGGCTTGTCGGAGTGTTTGGAGGAATGGACATTTAATGACGGAGCTTGAAAACTACACGGCTAGATGCCATGCAATACAACCTGCAACTTAGTTGCACTTCCCAGCCACTTCTGTGCCACTCAAGTCACCCTCGTCTTCATTTAAAAACCTTTCTCTCGGATACCTCTTCCTGTGAGATATAGTTATGGGATGAATACCATAGTGTAACTGATCCCTGAGATAAGTAACACAACAACACCATCAGTGAAGCATGTTCGTTGAACGTGGAAGTAATACGATAAAAGCTCTCGCACAGGAGAATAACACCAGACATCAAACTCAAATTACTGCTAACAACAACACGACCATTCCCATACTATAACGACTCGCAACACTCCCAGAAAAGGGCGGAAGGGGCGGACCACGCCTAGTAGTACTAGTCTTCGTAGGGGTCGACGACGGGGGAATTGTAGTAGTAGTGGTAGTAGTAGTGGTCGGGTAAATGCAGTCAGTTGAGACCCAACCTGGGGGCTCATGACCCGGAGAGGCTATGACCGGAGCAACCTGCCGCATATCTTTACAGTAGCACGTCACATTACTTGAAGGGGAACACACTCGACCAACTGGAGTCTGCCAGTCCTTACAGTACGCACTTACCGTACCAACCTCCTTGCAATAACTATCCCAACACTCCAGCAGCCGCAGTGGTGACGGATATATACACTGAGGCCCTACATCCCCTACCAGTATAGTATCGATACAGAATCCACTCGGACAGTAGGCACGAGGAGGACCAGGAGAGGTACTCGGTCGCTTCTGGCAGCGACTACTAAACAACAATGTGACGACGAGCAACAGACGCATAGAGAGAGAACAGCTCCTGATCAAACCCAATCAACGAAAACAACGGAGGTCCACCCTAGTAATATGAAAAAACAAGTGAAAAACATACCTCACGACGACTGCACATCACCGCGAATATCGCGGTTTTCATGGAGTTCTACGCCACTACACGAAAAACAGGCGAAACTTGAATGAACAACTTCCCAGCTTAAACAAAGACCTAGCCCAACTACTACTATTGCAATCCTAATCGAACCTAGCAAGCTCAACAAAATTATAAAATAGGAAACGTCTTTAAGACGATGAAGATCCTGTAGCTTAAAGACGACTGCGAATAACCGTAGTATAAAAATCTTATTGCCAAGTAAAAAATGTTCCAATTATAAACACCAGGGCGATGCAAGTCCCCCCAGCGAGTCTACCACTACCAGACGATGGTG